ATAATGGGAGACATCTGAAAGAGTTCCAGGGGAACCACAGAAGAATTTTCTAGAACAAAGTGTATATTAAAGGACTAAAAGAGACAAAAAAGATCTTTTACTCCAGCAGTTAAGGGGTTGCAACGTTATAGCTGAACGTAGGTAAGGCCCAGAGACATTCACGGGGGGAAAGATAGACCAAGGACTAGAATCAGAAGGTCCTACTGCTCAGGGGGACAGAGATTTCCCACAATGCCACACTTCCCGTCCTAGTGTGTGGCGAGAAGGCCCCCCAACATTACAGAAACTTTAAAATCAATTAGTTTGTTGGCTTCTGAGAAGGTATTGTAAACTGTCCAGAGTAATAAAATCAGCAATGCACAGCATTACTTTCCTCGATGAAGAGCTTGAATAAATAAGACATTTATAAAAATGAGTGGAAAATCTGAAATGAATATCCCAAAAACCATGAAAAAAAATAAGCTAAAAGAAATTGAATTTTCTTTCGAGTCTCTAAGAGAGAGGCGGCAGTTGAGGATTTTATACATAATTTATAAGGAAAATTGTCCCGTTCACTCAGGTATACACCGTATCAGTTTGTGGGAAAGATTAAGCAAGCTGTCTTTTTTTTAATTGAAATCAAATATAGGTATGGAAAAAAATGAATTCTGACTGAGGGAGAATGCAATGAGTCATGTGACATAAGGCTTTCTGGAGTTTACATGGGAGTTTTTATTTTTCTTTAAACCAAGTAACTTTGACTTTATTTATTGGTTAGTAATAGGAAAAGGCCCAAAGTAAAGTACTAGTTATTGACAAAGCTTCCAGTTCTTATTTCTTTCCATTCTGAGGAAAGCCGGATCTTGGCATCAGTAGCACATTCCTTACTGGGTTTCTGTGACTTGAACAGCATCAGTAAAGAACTCTGGGCTGTTTATCATTGTCTCCTAAAATGTTACTATAAATAATTCAGCCCTCGGAAATCTTCACCCAGAGATAACCTTTTGAATTGCAAAGACTCCCAGATACATAATACTAATTCACACCAAGGTGTTGGTAACTTTCTCTAAGCCTCAAATTAAGAGGATTCAGGGAGGCTGGGCAAGCAAAAGGAGACAGATTTTAAAGGAAGGACTCGCTACAGTGATGTTACAATTTTGCTGCTAGGACCCCAGCATAGGTCAAGAGGGTGGTTCTCAACAACCTATATGAGCAGTACAAGTCATTCCCCATGCTCCTGTTTGCCTTGAGACCCCCTGCCATGCCTCCTCATCACTCAGAAACATCATTCTGGTACTTTCCGAGTCACTGTGAGTTCCTCTAGCAGTAGTGGCATGTGGGCATTAACCTATATGCCATGCCCATGTCCTATGTCCCCGTGCCATTGTTTTTTGGGTATTCACTGTATTCTTGCTTCGGGCCCCAGCATAACTGAAGCGTTAATGCATCTCTCTATCTTTGGACACCCTACAGCATCTGCAACAAAGCTATTTCTGCTAAGCAGGCTCAATACTAATACTAAAAAGAAAATAATAAATGAAATAAAATGATGCAGCACTTTACAGTTTCCAAAACCATTTACTTCTATAATAACTTATTTATCTAAACCAAAAAAGAAATTAGGTAAGAAGGTATGATAATACCAGGTTTATAGAGAGGAGATGACCACTGAAATGACAGCCACCACTAGCTAACTCTTGTTGAAAATTACTCTATGACAGGTACTTTTTTTTAGGAACTCATTTGAGCACATTATGATATTAACTAATTAATTATTTTAAGAGTCCTGCAAAAAAGCTACTATTATTATTCCTATTTTGTGTATGAGGAAACTACAGCTTGAAGAATTTGAGCTACTTTCTCAAGATCACACAGGCAGTAGTTGGCAGAAATTATGGTTTGAATCTAATTCTATTGAATTAAAACTCAATACTCCTAAATAATGCTACTCCAAAAAAAGTCTTAAAGCATGGAAGTTTCGTTCTCAAAGTCATACTTCCTAAATGGCAGGAAGTAGGCTACTTCTGGATCTAATTCCTCACTGAATGCACTTTCAACTCTACCCTGATATTTATGGAAATGCAGGCAATTTGGCTGAGGAGCAGGAACTTATGGTAGATCTGGTCTTGTACCTAAACTTTAACAAACACTAGCTCCTCTCCTAGAAGACTCTGCTTTGCAATGGAAATTTCCTGTGGATCTATTGGATGGTTTCAAGATATTCTACCTGCTAGAAATGAAATGGATTTAATGTTCCCCATTAAGCTTATGGTAATTTTAGCCTTTCCAATTTCTGGCAGAAGAACATACAGTGTGAACACAGGGTAAATTCCAATCTAACGTTTCAGTTTTGATCCTTCTATGTTATTAGCAGAGCAAATCACTCTAGCCAAGAGCTACAGAGAACATTTTCTTCTGGTAGCTTCTTAGAATGTAACAATGAAAGAATGTGAGCCAAGCACAGGCAGATTTTAGAGTTCTACCCCAAAGTGATTGTTCTTTTGACAAAGCAAACACATGTCAACATTAAGAAATATCATTTCCTTAATAATGATGATTACCCATCTTTATACGATGAAGAGCCCCCCCCAGTCATGTAATGTTATAACCTGTTCTGTGCATAGCAATGACCTCTTTGTACATTTAAACCATGATTTGATAAATACCTGTTTGTGGATTGTCCATAAAGTGGCCTGAGATTGCTCCAAAATATTAAATTCATCTTCATAGTACCAAAATGAAGAGAGGAAAGTAGAAAATACTTAATTTCACCTAAATATCTTGACCCCCTGGTCCAAGTACTAAATTTGGAATGATGAGTGTAGTGGTGCCATGTAAATTCACCTACAGAGTTGGCTATTTTTCCTTAGATGAAATACAGTGTTTGTCTATAGTTTTCTGTCAATAACATTATTCAATGAAATTCTGAAAAAAAAAAAAAAAACACAGAGAGTTCTTAACAGATGTGATGGCAGTGGTTCTCTAGGGCCCAAGAATGTTTTTCAAAGAGTGACTCTAAAATCATCACTGGGAGAATCTCCTGGCAGTGAGTGAGGAAAGGGAGAAATCCTTGCTAAAAACAGAATCCCAGGCTCTAACTCAGACTACTGAATAAACCTTTAAAGGGACACCCTTAAAGGGTGTCAGCATTTCTAAAAGATTCCAGAACAGATTGTTTCATATTAAAGTTTGAGAATCCCTGGCACAGAGAAGTGAGAGAGAGAAAGAGAGGAGGCTGCCATAGCCACAGTGGAGTAGGCTAAGGAAAGTCCTCCTCCTAATAGCAATTCCTAAATTGCTTTGGCTCTCAGGTAACAGAGATGGCGAGGAGCCTGGAGAGAGAGCCCTACAAAAAAGGTGAGGTCCTCTCAGAGTGGAAGAATGATGGGCCAGTGAAGCCTGTGTCACTGGGGGCAGGGGTCATGGAAGAAGAGAAACAGAAGAGCAGGGTTAGACCCTCTGCTCAGCTCTCCCTTTCCTGGGATTGCTTTCCAGGGAAGAGGTGAGGTACTTGATTCCAAGGGAATGATTTTGAGGTCAGGCAACTTCTGCCCTGACCTATATTTGAAGCTCTCAAGGGAGATCACCTACCAGGTTTCCCTAATAACCCATGATGGTCATCACCAGAAGAACTCGGCCACACTGTGGTCAGAGAGAGGGAGGCCTGTGGACTGGTGCCTTGAGTTTCCTCTCTGTCTGTGATGGGGACACAGAGGACAACTGAATTGAGAGCAGTGGCCTTGCTCTAAGCCCATCCTAACTTGTGGCATCCTCTCCTACCCTTGCAGCTGAGGCCAGGATTGGCTTACATGAGATGATGTCTATGAAGCCTCTATTATTGCACTAATTCGAAAGGTAGCTAATGGCACAAAGCAAGTACAAGTGGTTTAAGAATCTGCACACTGAACAAATGAAATATATAGAATTAAGAGAAAAATTGTGGTTCCAAAAATTTTTTTAATTGCATGGTAAGCTATTGGGTTTACAGTGGTTTTGAATTGAGCTCCATATGCCCTAGCAGTTTCTCTGAGTCCCCCTCTCCTACCACACTCTTGTCCACTGCGAGGAGATAAGGCTCTAGGAGACAGAGTTCTAATGGTCCACCTCACCTTCACTTTGCCATAGTACCACCGATTCTGATTCATACTATCATTTGTTTGATCAAAGACTTTCTCAACCAAGGAAGTATATGAAAAATACTGTTCTTGAAGAGAAAAATTAAGTCACCAAGACTCCAGAAAGAAATTAGTAATATTTTGAGATATATCATGAACTTAATTAAGCAGGCTTAAAATCCAAAACTATTATCAACCTTACACACAAGTTCCTTGTTATTTTAATATTTTACTATTAATATTAATTATATTAATATTACTATTTTACTATTTTTATTATTTTACTAATAAAAGGAATTGGAATCTCAAACCGTGCTTAGACTACATGCAATAGTTTATAATGTTTGCAGCCCTGATCTGTCTCCAATAAAGAACAGGACACTAAACTCCAAGAGTTTACAATAAAACCCATTGAATCCCTGGGTTCCCTAAGCACTGCCTTGTCACAAGCACAATGAATTGCCTCACAAAGCACTAATACTTTGAATTACTGTCAGCATCAATTCTTATCTGCTAGAAACTGATAAAACAATCAATAGCCTTTTTTGTGTATTTGTTTCCAAGGAGATAATGATGTGCTCAGGGTTATTGGGAAGGTTTGCTAGTCTCCAGGGAAGAGCAAGGATTATGAGACAAAAGCCTTGAGAACAACCACCGGCTGTGCTTGGTGTTCTTAGATAAATTTCTTACTTTTTGTCCAAAAGTTTCCCATCTGTAAAATGGGAAGGATAATAGCTGGCCCATCCCCCCAACAGAGAAATAGGTTAAATATAAAATCCTAGAGTTGTAGAGGACAGAAGAGTTCCTAATCTCTTAGATACCATTGCTGTGAACTCAAATTAGGATGAACATTAGATTTTCATTGCTCTCCACCACTGCATGTCATTGTTATCCACTTACTTGTCTCTTGACAGGTAGAAATAGGGCTCTCTTGAGATTCAGGGCAATGTCTTAACTGTCTTAATCATCTTTGTCTCCACAGCACCAACATAGTATCTGCATATCCTAGAGAATCATTTATTATTAACAGTTTATTAAATGAATGAAAGAATAAAATAAACTAGTGAATAAAAAGGTTAACAAATAAAAGTGTTCTGCCATTTAAATTTCCACTCCCAAATCAAGATTCCTTTATAAAATATCCTTTATAAAATATTAGGGACCCCACAAGAGGGTCCCTAATCCTTGAAACATTGCACTAAGGAAAATGACCAGGATGGTTGGGGCATGTAGGAACAATGCCACAAGGCACAACATTCTATTGTTAATAGATCCAAAACTGCACATACTTATTATTGGTAGTCATGTCATATTGTCATACTAAGATTAGGTTCAACCAGCAGTCTTGAATATTTTTTACATACTATGGATTCAAATCAGTGGAATTCCAGGTACTTTTTGAGTTCAGAAGCAGAAATGTCCATGAAACCCTGACAAATATTGGCATGTCAACTTAGACCCATATTTAATTTATATTGATGTGTAATATAAATACACAAAAGTGAAAAATCAATTGTCCAACTTGATGAGTTTTCAATAGAACAACCCTTGTAACTAGCACTCAAATAAAAGAAATGAAAAATAAAACATTACCAGTACTCCACAGGCTCCTGTTTGTGTTCTTTTCCTGTCATTACTCCAGCAAGGGCGACCACCATTCTGACTCCTAACATCCTGCATTAGTTTAGCAAGTTTTCAAACATTGTATCCATGTGATATGACTGAATGAACTATGTTGTTTTCTTTCTTTCCCTTAACATTTGTTCATTCTTGTTGGTGCTATAGTATTCCATTGTGTGAATACCCCACAATGTATTTAGCCATGCTACTGTTGATGAACATTTGGGTCAGTTCTCATTTGGGGCCATTAGCAATAGCGCTGATGTGAACAATTCATGCATGTATAGCTTTCTGTTACAACCAATAAAAGCCTTTGTGAATCATGAATCTATCTCAGTCCTATCAGCTCACCTCCTAACATTTCTACATCTGTCCATCTCTGTCTTCTCTATTCCCAAACTTGATCTCTGCCACTTTGCTTCTGATGTGAAAGATGGCAATGAATCCTGACCTACCTCTGCTTTCGGAATCCAGGATCCACACATCAGAAATCATTGTCTTTTTAAAAATGTAAATAAGATCATACCTCACAACAGCTTAAAATTCACCAGTGGTTTATATATATTTGATTAAAATAAAATAAACACTCCCTACCATGTTCTACGAAGCCCTGTCATAATGGCCTGTGCCTACATCTCTGCACTGATTCTGAATTGTAAGATACTGGGCTATAAGGACAATAGACACCTTCCAGCTTCTGTTTACTGCTTGTTTGGTAACTGCAAGGCATTGTGAGTATATCATGGGATGCAGAGGAAAAAGACAAAGAGAGCGGAAACCTGAGTCTCTCAGCTAGGACCCAGAACAGGTTAGGGCCTATCAGGGGCAGGCTGAAGTAAAAATCACTGTGGGGGCGGATGCATGACCAGTGTGTAAACAACTAAGTTATAAAAAGGGGACTAACACACAAAGGAGGGTCCCTGGCCGGAGAAGAGGCCACTGCGCTGGCACTCTGGCCGGAGAAGAGGCCACTGCGCTGGCACTCTGGGGGCTCAGACCCTAGCTCGAGCTAGACAATAAAACTCCTTTTGATAATTACAGCCTCGGTGACTCTGTCTCTCTGTCCTGTGGCCTTGTGAATCTCGAATATAACAGAATCATTCTTTCTCTCCTGCTCACTCTGCTACAGCCACATGCTAAGCATGTTCCTTCTTTCTATAACGCACCTGCCCCAGGATCTTCACATAACAAGATCCTTTTCTTTATCTAGGGCTCCTGTCAATATTATATCCTTATAGAGATCTTCCCTGACCACGCCCCCTATCTCAAATAGCACTTCCCTCTAGGTCATTTCCCATCTGGTTAAATGGAGCTCATTCCACTGTCTAATGTTTCTGTTATCTATTTTCTTACTTACTGACTCTCTTATTGTTTATAACAGTTTTATTGAGATGTAATTTACATACCATAAAATTCACCCTTTTAAAGTGTTCAATTCAGTGGTTTTTAGTAGATTCACAAAGTTGTACGAGTATCACCGCTATCTAATTTGAGAACATTTCTATCTCCCCAAAAGAAACTCTGTAGCCATTAGCTGTCACTCCCCATTCTCCTTCCCCACAGCCCCTGGGAACCACTAACCTACTTTCTGTCCCTATGGATTTGACTATTGTGGACATTTAATATAAACAGAATCATATGATATGTGCCTTGGTGGCTGACTTCTTTCATGTAGCATAATGTGTTCAAGGTTCAATATGTTGTAGCCCATATAAGTATTACATTTTTTTCCTTTTCCCAATAATATTCCATTGTATAGATATATCACATTTTGTTCATCCATTTATCAGCAAATGGCCAGTTGGGCTATTTCCTTTTTCCAGCTATTCTACATAATGCTGCCATGAACGTTTTTGTATACATTTTTCTATATATGTATGTTTCAGCTTGTCTTGGGTATATACCCAGAAATGGATGACTGTCTTTTGATATTAGGATGTCATCTCATCTCTGTGGGAGCAAACACTGCTGGCACCAGCACAACGTAGGCACCCACCCCAGTTTTGTTCAATTAGTTAACCTAAGATTTCAAAGCAGTGTTAACCAGAACCGATTACCTTTTATAGTTTATCTTAAAACCCTGGCAACATTTAGGCCTCAACTGTGCTCTCCCCCAAAACAAAATCAATGGAAAGGTGGTTTTTCATACTAGTTTTCACATTAAAGAGCACATACTGAGAATCTTGTGTTGATAGGGATATTTGAACTTAAATGCACAGTAGAATTTGGAGAAGGGAACAGAGTCATGGATAGAATATGAATACAAAAGAAGAGAATTAAACTATGGCCACTTCTACAGATGAATCAGCTTGCAAGGACCCTGATAAGGATTCTCTGAGACCAGATGAAGAAATTAACTCTAGGCTGAGCAAGTCATGTCCTTATGCTGAAACAGTTGAGAAAATAAACGTAGCAAATGACTTTAAATATTTGGGGCTGCTGTTTACATCAAAACTGGAGTCAAGTGTTTTTATATTCATAGCTGTGGGAATTTATCTCAAAATCCTCTTAGAATCACATTTATCTCTCAGCAAGGTTGTTTAAGACCATCAAAGCACAAGAATTGCCCCAGTGGAACCAGACCAATGGTCCATCCAGCCTGAGATCTTGCCTCTGAGAGTAACCAGTGTGGAATAGTATTAAAAAAAAAAAAAAGCCAAAAGTCCTTGCTGAAATGCACCTAATTGTGCAATGCCAGAGCAGGGGGCTTGGAGCAATCTCTTCTGAGCCCAGCTGGTGACCAACTTCTGCCCTGAAGCAGGAGGCCTGACGGCCCTTGCAAGACTTACCCTTGCAAGTGTAACTGCAGCTCCATTTCAGAGCATGATTTCCTTCCCCTGGTGTCTTTAGAAAAGAAGGTTGGATATTTACCACCCAACAAGTTTACCACTATCACATTATGGTGAGCCATTAGAGTTAATCCATTAGCAAAGGGGAAAAGATCTTCGAGGGACTTGGGAGTTTAAGTTGAAAATCGAGATAATTTGCTGTCATTTCCTCCAAAATATTTATTTTATTCTTAGGCTGTCTTTGTTGTTTTATTGTTTGTTTGTTTGTTTGTTTTTGTTAAAGAGAAATACTCTGCATTCTGCCTGGCTTGGATGTGTTCCCTTAAACAAAGCTGATTTCCTTAGCTAACTGTCTTTGTGCATCATAAACAGGCCAACCAGAAGCATACACAAAGTAGTTAAGATTTTGAGCAGAATGGTCCCTCTGTAGCTTCCCAGCTAATACAGTGTCTGTATTTCTAGTGTCTTGATAAAAGAAAAGCAAATTATTCATTCATTTATTCTGTCATTAAAAATTTAGCACAAAGAGCTAGGCTAGACCCTGGGAATACACTGGCGAAAAAAAACAGATACCATGCTTGTGGTTATAGGGTTTCTAATCTAGTGTGGTGACCTGAAAAGGAAATGTGAAGGGACAAATGGAAAAAAAAAAAATATATATATATATATATATATTCCCTTATGCAATTGTACTAATTAGAACCAAGGAAGATGTTGAAACAAAAACTGATTTGGCAGTCAGGTGAGGGATTGTTTAACTTACTTTAGAGGTTTAAACAGGAATAAATGCAATAAAGAGAAAGAGGTGTGCTCCACCAGAGAGAAGTATGGGCCAAGGCTTTGAGGTAGCAATGAGGTCAGCATGCTCCAGAACCAAGCAATCACCCATCTGATAAGGGTGTAGTCTGTGATATGAGAGGAGGTTTAAATTAAGTGACTTAGGCCAGGCCTATCATGCATAGCCTTATATGTCATAGAAGAAACTTTGAATTTTATTTTCATGCAATGGAAATGTTTAACTCTTTTTTTTTTCTTCTTTAAGAGATTAAGTCTCATTCTGTCACTCAGCGTGGAGTTCAGTGGTGCACTTGTAGCTCACTGCAGCCTGGAACTCCTGGGCTCAGACAACCCTCCTGCCTCAGCATCTCAGGTAGATGGGACTACAGGTATGTGCCATCACACACAGTTAATGTTTTTTTTTTTTTTTTTTCATTTTTTGTAGAGATGAGGTCTTGCTATGGTCTCAAACTTCTGACCTCAAGTGATCTTCCTGCCTTGGCCTCCCAAAGTTCTGGGATTACAGGCATGAGCCACTGCACCTGGCCTGGTAATGTCGAACTGTTGAGGTCATTATCTAAACAGTTGACAGTTATTAAATAAATCTCTATAATACAGGCAGGTTTCTCTGGGACCAGCTGACCAGCTGGGTGGAGCTGGGCAGCAAACAAACTATGCATTTGACCCTCTGAAACTCTCTGGCTGTGGTCACACTAGGGAATGGCCACAGGGGTAAGATGAAAACTGCTGATTCCATACAGCTCCTTTTTCTGGGATCATGACCTTTTACATGGCTTTATATACCTCCCTTCTGCTTAA